CATTTTCTTTATCGTGCCAACGTTTCGATCTTTATTAAGATCATTTTCAGGGCCTGGGATTTACAAACATTGTTTATATTTAACAAATACATTTGGTATGTGGAAAAAAGTGAATTTATACAATGCAAAATATATTTTTTTATATTCAATCAAAGTATTTCTACTCACTTAGTGTTTGTCTTCTGTGTAATTTTGCCATTCTTGCGTGTCGTGTTGACAGTGACAGTGAGATATTGCCGTTTTATGTTTATATATGTTGGATTTTGAAGGGGTGGGGAAGGAAGTCGGTATAGAAAAGACATTTTTGTATAAGGCTACATCACACCAGACCCCATCTCACGATTTCTGAATAATTATCGAATAACGGTCACTAATCACCACACATTTTTGAGTTATAATGGTATGTCATTGCAAAATCATTGAAAGAAACGCAGAAGAAAGAAGAAAATGTGTAAGTTTTGTTTTTAAAAAAAATGAATGAACAAACAAAGAACGTTATTTACCCAAAAAATATACAAGATAATACTAATAAAAAGTTTTTAATACTGCATTGATTGCTCGTTTCCTGGAAATGGCGGGCGGGATTCACCTGAAAACCAAGGATATTTAAAAAAATAAAAATAAATGTAAGATAAATATAACAAAAATAAATGAAATATTTATAAAATACATAAAACAAAAACAAACACTTATTGGTCTCCTCAATATAGAAATAAAATTAAAATAAATTAATAATTAAAGTTTTTTCCTTCGCTTTTGTTTTATAAAGTAGTAGTGTTCAATTTATTATTAAATTTCGTGATATTCTTCTAACGTTGCCAGCATTAACGTTATTAGCAAGGTTTCCGAAGGCTTTCTTTACGAAAGAATCTGTCGATGGGCTAAAAGTGGGCGTTTCGAGAGAATTTCACTTCCGCCCATAATACAGTACCGTAGACAAAATTTTACTCTCACAACATAATTAATTTACAACTGTACCAAAAGAGGCAGAACACATATGCGTTCTTTATAGACCTTTCTGCTGCTTTCGACACGATCGATCGTGACGCCTTGATCCATAAATTATTTAATCTTGGTCTTTCTTCGAGGATAAAAAATGCCTTACTGTCTAACACTTCTAGATTTGTATGGAGTAAAGATTAAAAAGAAACCCCCACTGCACAATTGGAATGGGTGTTAAAACAGCTTGGCTCAGTTCAATTTTTTTTTTTTTTGGGGGGGGGCACTCTCAAAACGACACCAAATAATGACACATCTACGCAGAAAACAAACACTTTGAGCCCTGAAGATGATCTTAATAAAGATCGAAACGTTGGCACGATGAAGAAATTGTTTTTCTAAAACCAACGTCACACCCGACCGTATCTCACGATCTCCAAATAATAATTATTTCCTTTATTTTTAACGACCTTGCAGAATTTCTCGATGGTGAGAGTGCAGATTACTAAAATTAAAATTCCGTTGCATTAAAGGATGCTTAATCATATTGAACAGAATCTTAAGGTATGGAACGTAACTCTAAACTGCGACAAAACTAAAATAATTATTTTCAGTAATGAGAGAAAAAAAATGGAAAGTGGTTCTTACAAACCAATAGATAGAGATTGTTAACAAATACACCTTGGCTTAACGCTTACTCCAAAACTCTAATTAAATACGCATTTTGATGAGAAAATTGATTCTGTTAAAAATGCTATAAGCGTAATCCGGACCCCCCTATATTCAAAAACAACAAAATTTCGTGGTATTCAAATCAGCTACTCGAACTTTGTTTTGCACAGTTGTGGCTGCATATTTTTCGAATAGGTGGAAAAGTTTATCGCTTCTTCCTAAAAATAGATTCTGAGAATACCTACGGTGGACACCGTCTGCCTCCTATATTAAGCCAATGCATGTTTGGTCCGCGACAATTTAATTAGATGACCTATTAAAAGTTTTGGAGCTTGGCTCGCTCTCGAAACTATTAAGCATAAGGTTGGTGGTTCAAGACAGTTCAATCTCTGGCAAGTGTTTGCAACACCCATTGTAAATTACACTTTGACAATATTACTACCTGGAAAGGTTTATTTTCGAATATTCAAAGGAAAATGATTGCTCATTATAAAGCTATAAAGCTATAAAGATAAATGAATAGGGGAAACGGAAAGTTATCCTATATAATTATGCTCTCAATTTTGACCAAAGGTATGACGAACTATCTACACAATCTTTATGTAAGGTATTGGTTGAGATAAAAAAGTCAGTGTGACGAGCGGGATTCGAACCACGACCTTCGGCTAAATACGCCGCTGCTCTACCGCTTGAGCTATCGTGACTTCGATCCACTCGGGCACCAACTTCCCATTTCTACCTACCTATTGATTTTTCCCTCTTTTTTTGCCATTTTTCAATTAATTGAATAATAATCAATTAATCGAAAGAATTTATTTATTATCGGAACACGAAATATAATGGTATCTACAGAATGTTTTCGAGCTGGATTCCATCCGTTAGATAGTGAAAATCAGATATTGCAAGCTGTCTTTAAACTTCATGCTTTCAATACTGAAATTAGTTTGATTAGATTTCGTGGCCCGCTTGACCAAATAAATTCTTTTCAATTAATAATGGTTTTGGTTGAGATAAAAAATGGCAAAAAGGTCGGGTTGAGATGGTATGTTAGTGTCGGAGTGGATCGAAGTCACGATAGCTCAAGTGGTACAGCAGCGGCGTATTTAGCCGAAGGTCGTGGGTTCGAATCCCGCTTGTGACACTGACTTTTTTATCTCAACCAAAACCATAATTAACTGAAATTAGTACTGTACGCTATGCTTGCCAATGAGCCTGAAACTTCAGCCGGAAGAAAAAGGTTTTCCCTTTCTGAGGAGTTACACAATGAACAGCGATCAACAAAACCAGCTCTCAATTAGGAGAAATTAAAATAGATTAACATTGCTTTTTAACTTAAAAATGTTTTTGAATCGTAAATTTTCTTGTAAAACCGAAATCTATTGGATCTACGATCCAATTCAAAACAACTTTCGATATGTTTTGAACTAATGTTAGTTTCAAAAGCCGGCAATATTGAAAACCATTCTTCATGATAACTAAGAGTAAAACCAAAGTTTAGTTTACAATGGTAGACAAGTTAGCATTAATCACTTCATACGGAGTAATTTTATGTAGTTTATATTAAGGTAACGGGAGGGTCCTGCCTAATACGCGATGCTTTATGGCTTACAAGGGGAGAGACGATCTATGTTGTTTCCAAGTATAGCATGTAGTAAGCAGTAAAAGTCAGAAAGTGATATAATTGTCTAATAAAGAAACGTTGAAGTTAATTGCTGTTCTTAACAGTTGCACACTACTGATATTATTATTATTATTATTATTATTGATCTTTATACTGCCTTAAATGCCTTGAACTTTGAATTGGACGGGATGGAGGGGTTTGAGAGCAGGCTGTACCAAACCGAATCGATCGCGAATTTGGCCGTGTAAATTTTCTTTTTTAGATGAGGAGTCGGAGAGAGATTGGACGTAAAGATGACCCCAGGTACTTTCACAATTTCAATGCGTATCCTGGAAAAACCACTGATCCCTACGCTCCAGCCTGCCTCCCCTACAAAAAACATCAATTTGCTATGATTAAATTGATAGAAATGTTCCATTGAGAGCAGTTATTTTCCAATGCAACACTATTCTCCTGTAAGGCCGAAGAAAAATAAATTGAAATATCGCTAAAGAATTAGATCATTTTTTGATTATTGCCATTTTTTAAATGAGGATATCAACAAAAACTATACTGAACGTTGATGTGATATAATACAAATTATTTATTTAATTTACACTTATTGGCATTATATCATCGAGGGATTTTAACGCAAGTTGAACAATTTAGCTTTTCAAGAGAACAAAACAATTATTCTTAATAAATTCACTAGTCTTCGTGGTCCGCTTGACCAAATAATGTCTTTCAATTAATTAAGATTTTTAGTTGAGATAAAAAAATCAATGTCACGAGCGGGATTCGAACCCACGATTTTCGGCTAAATACGCCGCTGCTATACCCTTGAGTTATCGTGACTTCGATCCACTCGGACACTGACTTCCCATCTCAACCTCACCTTTTGAATTTTCCCTCTTATTGTCCCTCTTCCTACCGCTTGTGGCACTGACATTTTTATCTCAACCAATACCTTAAGTACAGATTAATTAATTGAAAGGTATTATTTGGTCAAGCGGACCACGAAAACTAATGAATTTAATAAGTTAAATGAAGTATATCTTCACTAAATCTTTCCGTGACCATTTCATTTGTCGCCGAGAATCAAATAGATTACACCACATTTGAAGAATGGCAAAAAGGAGGGATAATTCAAAAGGTGGGGTTGAGATGGGAAGTCAGTATCCGAGTAGATCGAAGTCAGGATAGGTCATGTGGTAGAGCAACGGCGTATTTAGCCGAACGTCGTGGGTTCGAATCCCGCTTGTGACACTGACATTTTTATCTCAACCAATACCTTAAATACAGATTAATTCTTAATAAAAGCGACAATATAAGCCTTTTCCCACCTTAATTAGAGCATCCAGAATTTAAATGTAACTTCCGGAAAAGCCAGTATCGATTGCCTCATCCCGTCAAGTTGTTAACAATTGTAATTAAATTTGTAATTTCAAGTATGTTCTCTTTGTTTTATCATGCATTAATTAAATTGAATTCCATCTCCGAGGGAAAAAGTTTATTGTGTTGTAAACTTTTCAAAATCTTTTGTGATATGAAATTAATTAATGTTAATTTATATAAATCAGAAAATGTTTATTTCTACCGGGTGGTAAGGTGGAAAAACCTGTCCATTTTTATAAAGACTTACATTTTATCCGGGTTACCAGTGTAAAACACAAAAGAGGAAGAAAACAAGAACATTATAACCACATTAAGCACAAATATTTTTTCTGTCGCATATTCTATTACCAATTGCTTTTTTAAATTGAATTGTATAATTATGTCCTATTTTCAGAATGAGGTTTTAACTGGCGATAAGCGGTCGTGAAAGAACGGCCATTCGTACGCAGATGACTGCATGAAAAGCGAAACAGCTAGTGTGTACGGCGCGTGTGCATTGTGCATGAAGTGATACGTTTAAGAGAAAGGGACGGAGGATCCAGGATCCATGGATGAAGAAGTAGATTTCCAGACGCTGTACAATTGCACCAGTTTAGTTTTAGGCCCTGATACGATAGCCGGTTTCAACAGGTCGGAACTATTGAACGCTGTAAGTGGTTGGAGAGATTAAATATAATGATACTAGTTCAAACTTGTGGCAAAGGTTTTATTTTTGTCTTTTCAAGGTCGGCATTGCGGCCACTAAGAACAGCAGCGCTAGAAGCACATTAAGAAAATGCCTTTTGACGGAACCTTTGACGTCTTACATACCCTGGTGGCAGAAACTTCTCTGGATCGTACTCTTCTCATCCATGGTCATCGTCGCGACCACTGGCAATGCTATCGTTATGTGGATTGTCTTAGGTAAGTAGATAAATGAATATAAATAATGCTGAAAACTGATAATTGATTATTGATTTATTTAAGTTGAAATCTTACATGTATATATGCACACGTATGTACAGAATTGAGGCTATGACTTCTCAAGTTGAACGGTAATTCAAGCTTTTGTACTTTACAATGAATTACAGACAGGCCTCGAGAATAAACCATCGAGCGTTCAGACTTCGCTTTTATCCGTCCAACCACCGAGTTTTGGTCCCTGGGTCCTGCCAAAGTTAGGTCATTTCAGCGTACTTAATTCCTAATCCAAAACCATTCATACTCTTAAATACATACTCCCCATCACCTTTACCCTTTTCATACTTACACAAAACTTCATTATTACATACAAATCCCAAAATTACAGTTTCCTTTTTAGGTGACTTAATATTTTTTAAGTTCAAATTTTTACCTTTTTTTGGAGAAAAATTATGCAGGGTAACTCAGGCCCAGTTTAACTTAAAAATTACAAAATCGGCCCTATTCATCATGACACATCATTTTAAAGGATTTTAACAATGGTGCAATTGGATTTTAAATTGGTCAAAAAATGACAAACTTATGTGAAAAAAAACTCGGCGGCTGGACGAGGAGCTGAATATTTTCCCGTAAGTTTGCAAAAATCCGAATTCCTCTCTTCAAAATGTTTGACGGGTTTTAGATATTTCAAACAATAAAATTAGAGATGTACTCCGGACTTATAATTTTAAGTCGTATCCCTCTCATCGTAATTCAATCACCTCAATAGTTCTTAGCTCAGCTGAGTATAAATCGTGAGTAAAGTCTTATTTTATTTTTTTTATTGTTTGATAATTAACGTATGTATTTTTTTGTTATTTTTATATCAGAAGAGTTTGCTTTTTATTAAAATTTTGTTTTTCTTTTCTTACGTACACTTTTTCTGAGGAGTCCTCTTAGCTTCCATAAATACTGGTAGCAGAGCTAATAATATAACATTATATAAATAAAACAAAAAAAATATAATGAGAATAGAAAAAAAATAAAAAAATATAAATAATAAAATATTTTCAGTAAATGGAGATACCGTACCTAATTGCAACAGCGAACATAAACATAAAACTACACAACATGATGTGGCCCATAGAAATAAACATCATGGAAAATATGCATTCTACTGGGATTTAACTTCTACGAAAAAGAGGGCTTAATTCGTGATGGAGAGGACAAAAATATATCCTTCAAACACACCCATTAAAGATTTTTACACTACTTAAAGAGCAAGACATCATTCACAATACAACGCAGAACACAAATCTCACATTACACACATTACTCTCAGACAATGAAGATCAAGACGTAAACAGTACACCAATTAATTATTCAGAAATCGTGAGATGCGGTCTGGTGTGATGTAGGTTTCAGAAAAACATTTTCTTTATCGTGCCAACGTTTCGATTTTTATTGAGANTTAGTCGAAGATTATTCAGAAATCGTGAGATTCGGTCTGGTGTGATGTAGGTTTCAGAAAAACATTTTCTTTATCGTGCCAACGTTTCGATTTTTATTGAGATTATCTTCAAGGCCTGGGATTTACAAACATTGTTTAAATTTAACAAATACATGTAGGATGTGGAAAAAAAATGAATTTATACAACGCAAAATATATTTTTTATATTCAATCAAAGTATTTCTACTCACTCAAAGTGTTTGTTTTCTGTGTAATTGTGCCATTCTTGCGTGTCGTGTTGCCAGTGAGATATTCCTGTTTTATGTTTATATACGTTGGATTTTGAAGGGGTGGGGAAGGAAGTCGGTATGGAAAAGACATTTTTGTACAATACACCAGTATAAAAGAAAGAACCTTCATACAACATAACATACACACATCAGACTTTCACACAACACCAAGTCCTCAAGAGGAACAAATAGAAAATGAAAAAAATTACTTTATTAATAAATTTCCAAAGGTACTTACAGAAAATTTGGGTTTATCATCGTAGTTGACATTTTAAAATTGAACTGGGCCTGAGATATCCTGCAAAGTTTTTTCCAAAAAAGGTAAAATTTGAAACGACTAAGAAATATTACACACTTTTTTTTTGTTAACATCATTGGTTTCAAGAGAAATTCAGCCGGGCCATCTAAAAAGGACGCCCGGCTAGTTAGTTTTCAGGGAATTTTTTATTGACATGGCAATAATATAAATTTTATTTGATCAGAATATTGTTACGCCCTGTAGTAAACGTCCCTTGAAATTTCCGCAAAGGATTCTAAGAATCTATCTCTTTTGTGGCGAATGTTGTTACAAATGAATAAGAATCAATGGGAAAAACGCTTTTCACTCTTCGGATTATTTGACCCGTTTTTTTATCACGTAACATTCAGTTGCTTTTCATTCTGAACTGAATAACATCGACCAAAACGTTTTGGCAACCATTAAAGGAACGGAACGTAAAGAACATGTTGGGGTTACTTTTTTGCTGTTAGCAATTCTCATTAAATACAAACACAAATATATATATAGCAATGCATCAACTCCATTCAATTTTTCACGTTTCTATTTTCCAACCGACTTTTAATTTGAATTTTACGTTGATTTTTAAGAAAAACCAATAGCAAAAAAAAATATTTAAATTGTAAGAAAAAATATAATAAAAGTTAGCGCCGGCAACTTGGTGTTTTTTGGAATTTTTTTAGTAGAATAAAAGGGAAAAAAGAAATCCTAGTGCAATAATTGATTTTAAATAACTTTTGTGGCACTTTATTCCGAATGCTGATGTTTTTTTTAATAACTTTGAATGTTTTGAAACTTTTGAACTCAAAATGGACTGTTGATAAATTTGTAATAGAATTACAATTTGAAGTAAATTATGTATGGAGTGTAGTCAAATTCAAAGGACTACTAAACAGAATTGCCTATTGTTTATGTAATGTTGTGGTCACATTTTCGGATCAAAGACCATTTCACGAGACTATTATGTTATAAAGGGCTGGTAGATCGCATAGAAGTTTAAACTTCTCAAAATTTGTGAAGTAATAATAATAATGTGGGAATTTTGGAGCCTACACACGGCTGAGGTCATCCCCGGCTCTTTGCCTTCTTTTGACGTCGACTTTGACGCGTATTCTTCAGCCTGAGCAAGTTTAGCGACTCGAATCATATGTTTACTGACTCTGCTTTTATATGAACACTGAGTCGATATTCTAAAATTCGAACCTCTTAATTGTACCTCAGGTTGTCAACTAGACAATAGATATAAAACATAGAGGTTGACCAACCCCTCCCTTTTACGCTAGTAAATTACATTCATTCAAATAGATTAAGAAAAACAACACAGACACAACACAAACCTATATACATTTATAATTCCTTATAACTCTGAGGTACCGAACATCGATCTGCGCCCGCTGCTGTGCCCCAAGACTAAGCACAGGTCCGACGATGAATCAGAATATTCTCTATAAACCTCAAGCCTTTTACAATTGAAAATGTGCTCGACCGTCATTTTATTCTTGAATAAAGGGCACCTACTTCGTTTTCCGGCCAGAAGGTGCCCGTGAGTTATTCTTGTATGACCTATGCGTAGTCTTGTCAGTATGGCCCTTTTTCGACCCGTTCTCAGTGGTCCAGGGCCGACGTCTTTCTAACCTGCCACGGTTTGGTAAGGTTATTTTTTTACTAGCCCATCGGTTTTCCCATGCCCCTATTAATATATATGAAATTTATAGAGTTAAATTCGCAGAGCTTACTGGTTCTTCCGGCGGCTTGCTATCCCTATGTGAACGGGTACTTTGCCAAATAAACTTATAATACCATAGTTATATAAAATTTACACTTTTACTATCCAGCAAGCGGTTACCTTTACTCTATAGGTTGGTTGGTCTACGATATATTTTTTTAGTTATGGAATTTTTTAAAATTTCATTTGGCCTTTGTTAAAAAAATCTAATTTTTGTTTCTTAATTATAGTTTAAAAAAAGCTAAATTAAATGGGATATTTTCTAATAGGAAATGTCGTTTTGAAAGATGTTAAGTTCCGTTCTAATTTGTTTTCAATCTTTTTACATATTGTAAGGGGAGGCTACAGATGTGGGAATATCTATTTTCTGCAACTTTTTTTCTTTTTGTTGAACTCTTACACTCGAATCCGAGCAAAGTTCCCAACGGAACATGAAAAAATTAAGTAATTCAAGTAATTTTTCAAAAAATTTCCTCTTTACTTTGTTTCGCATGTTTTCAAAGATAAGACAATAATAAGCGGATTCTTAGAAATAAGATTAAGTATATAAAAGTACGAAAAATCAAAACACTATTCTAGTAAAGTAGGTCAAGAACTTTCTTTTTATAATTGAGTACATGCATCTTAAATAAAATTTATCTATTTTCTCGTGACATTTATTTTAATCGGTTAATTTAAAATTAAATTAATGATTTGTATAAATTAACACATAAGTTTTATTGTTAAAAATCCTTTCAGTCAATGTTATCTCATTATTATTTGGAGATCGTGAGATGGGTTCTGGTGTCACGTGAGTTTTAGAAAAACATTTTCTTTATCGTACCAACGTTTCGATCATTATTGAGATCATCTCCAGGGCCTGAGATTCATAAACATTGTTTAAATTTATCAAATTTATGTAGGATGTGGAAAAAAAGAATTTATACACTGCTAGAAATTTTAAATTCAATCAAAGTATTTCTTCTCACTCAAAGTGTATGTCTTCTGTGTAATTGTGCCATTCTTGCGTGTCGTGGTGAGAGTGCCAGTGAAATATTGCTGTTTTATGTATATATACTTTGTATTTTGAAGGGGTGGGGAAGGAAGTCGGGATAGAAAGATATTTTTATATGAGGAGTCGACTTCTTTGAGGTGAAAGGAGCCGACAATGGGAAAAATCGTGGGTAATGGTTCGGTCTGATTATCCTTTCAGGATTATATAGACGGTGACAATTAGGGAAAGAAAAGCCAAATTGTTGAAAAATTAGACTATATAGAAAGGTTTTTTTCCACATCCAACAT